AGGTAGGCATTATTTTACAGATGAAGACATTGTGCCTTAGAGAGGTTAACTTGTTCAAAATCACACAGCTAATAGGAGGCAGAGTCAGAATTCAAGTTCATATCTGTCTCACTCCAAAGGCTGAGCCCTTTCTTATTGGCTATGTCATTACTATAATGCTTTCTGGAAATTTTGCACTAAAGAGCTGACTACAATTGTTACTGAGATTTCATCAGAGTAATGTGGATAAAGACATCAGATTTAGTATAACAAGAGAAGAAGGTTGACTGAGAGCAGAGAAAGTTTTTCTATTCCAAACTCAACTGACTCTGACATTAGAATGGTACGTGTTCTACATATAATTTATGTTTAATAGTTTTTTGAATTAAAATAGTCTTTATTGTTGTGCTTTTATACAAGAGAGGTGTGTAGGATGTATACCAACCAACATTTTAGATAATATACAATTCTAGGTAAGAACAAAATATTAAACTATTTAAAAATTCTGTTATTTCTAGTTGAAGTAATATAGTTTAAATAGAACTGAGCAAGTTTTAATTCAATTCAACATGAACATGAATAACTAAAGCTTAAATTATAAGAAACACTTTAAGATTTAGACTATTTTTCTTAGCAGTAATTAAGGGCTATATGGTAGTTTATTTCTTCCTAAGGAAGAAAATATATTTTGCACAGAAATTGCAAATTGATTAGATGTTAAGGTCTGTCCCTTTTTATGGGATCAATGCAGAAAATGTAGATATACTCAGATGTATAACCACATTCTATTTAGAAAAATAAGATCAAGAACACTGATTTTACTAGACAAGAGTGTAACTTTAAACAGTCCCTAATGTAAGAACAGCTTTCATTCCAAATATTTGTTTGAAATTCACTATTCTAGGATTTTATATGCAAATTTCAACATATAAAACTGAAATGATATTAGGTGTATTCTCAATCCAGCTAGAAATTTTATCTATAATGTATTCCAAATATAGGAGTAATTATGTTTTAGGCTCTACTTTCTATGTATTACATTGTTAATGAGGGGAAAACATTCTGAGTTCCAAATTAATGTCCTGGATCATACCTGCATTCGGACCTCCAGTCTTGACATAAAACAAACTGAAAAACCCATAGTTTAGACTACATCCTCTCCTATTTTCTCAGGAATAAGGCAGAAGTTCACCAGAGAAGGGTCTGAACGATGATGTCATTCACTTAGATTTGCACTGTGATTCTAGGAAAACACTTTGAGGAACACTGTAAACCTAAGCGTTCCAAATCCCGACTCTCAATGTGGGTTGCAGCTGGATAGAACTTAGAGATCAGCAAGTTAGGCATAGCCTTCTAATTTGAATCAGCAGAATGAAAACTCTTCTCCCTTCACCTAATTCACCAACACAGGTTGGGGGCAAAGTCTCTTCACACCTCTGCCTGGCCCACTTTTTTTTCTAGAAGCAAGTTATATAGCAAGATTTACAGAGTATTCAAAGGATAAGAAATGTTATCTTCCATTACAACCTTCCTTTCATTAAAGCACCTATTGCTTGAAAATATTTCTTTTGTTTAAGAAATTTTCTTTTTTAAATTTATTTATTCATTTATTTTAGAGAGAGGGGAAGGGAGGGAGAAAGAGAGGGAGAGAAACATCAATGTGTGGTTGCCTCTTGTGCACCCCCACCAGGGACCTGGCCTGCAACCCAGGCATGTGCCCTGACTGGGAATTAAACCAGTGACCCCTTGGTTCACAGGCCAGCACTCAATTCGCTGAGCCACACCAGCCAAGGCCTTGTAAATATTCTTAAATTTCTGTCCTGTGTACTGTATAATCTTAGTTGATGGAACAAATATGTGGTTCTACCTCAAAAAAGATTGCTTTCTAGGCAAGAACAATAGGTACACATGAGTTAGTCAAATAGCAATTCAACAGCTTACTCAAAAAAGCACTTGTTTGCAGAAATAAATAGTTCACTCAAAAGATGCCATGAGCTCAGAAGGGAGGAGCAGTGCCATGGAATTGAGGAAGATGAATTCATGGAAGCACAGGACAGCTGAGGCTGGCGTGGAAATTGTTTAAGCGGATAAAATGGAACAAAATCACAGAGACTAGAGAAAAAGAGGGCTCAAACCAATTGCTGATTTACTGGAAAGACACAGTGAAAGAGAGGTTGGAGTCCAGGTTTAGTGCATGTTGCCTATGTGATTAAACCATAAGTAGCCACTCACAAGCTGGGTAGGAGCAGTGACAGCCTGCTGTGTGGAATGGCCCCAGACTTGGTGGCGGGGAGGGAGGTTGTCAGGAGACAAAGGTTCATCTCTGCTACACACCAAAAGTATGGTTTTGGGTGAAAAACTAGACTTGTCCTGGCTGATGTTTCTTCAAACGTGAAATGAGGGATTTGAGTTTGATGTTCTTTTAAGTCCCATCTAGCTCACAGATTCTAAGTGCTTTGCTCTATTTTAATGGAAAGAGAATAGTGGGATAGTCGCAGAACAGAGGTGAAAGGAATATGAGGAGAGGGGTGCAAAGGGGACCAGAAGGAAGTAGGAGTGATCAGCTCATAGAGGCAGGAGTAAGTCTGGAGGGACATTTCAAATGGTATCTCTGACTTTATCTCACCACCTTATAGACTCCCTTCTATTAAGCACACTTGTCCATTAAGCATCCTCTTTCTTTGCTCTTCTGTACGTGTTCCATTGCCATCAGCACCCCACCCTTAGACATGCGTACCCAAGTAGTAGAAAGCAGAGTACAGAGGAAATGGTTTTCAGCTTCTTTTATTGTGGCACCCTGTGGAGCTCTTGCTTTTCCCCTTTTTGTTATGTATGTTTTGATTTGTCACTGATAGTGGCAACTGCAAATCTCCTTTAGTTTCCATGTCCAAGTTCAATGTCCTGATGATGGCTGTGTCCTTTGAACCTGCCCAGACACACCTAGAGACAACATTTTCAAGTATCTCCAGCTCTATGGGGGCTACAAGAAAAAATATTTAGAAGTAGGGGCCAAAAAGAGACCTAGTGAATACAACTCCAGGAATTTCAAGATGAAAAGACCCTCCTACTTGAAGGAGCAGTAGCAGGTACAATTTGGAGAGCCAAGGTCAGTGCTCAAAGCATTCCTTTGTTAGCCACACTCAGCGTTAACATGGTACTTCCATCAATACCTTTTTATTGAGTGCCTGTTATATGCCAGATACTATTATAGATGCTGTAATTTTCTATTTGTCTAAGCCATTATGATACATGAAAATAAAGTAAAGAATGGTTTTTCAAAAGGATTAATATTTTATACTCTATTTCTGCTCCATGTGTTAACTTTTAGAACCCTCACCATTGTGAATATTTGTTAACATTTATTTTTTCAACATGGGTTATATTATTGAAAGCACCTTGATACATTTCATTAACATTTTTATATAAAGGGGTGAAATCTTTGATTAAACTATTTCTTAAGAAATGTCAGATGGATATGCTTGCTTTTGTTCTGTGAGAGAAATGCCCCCTGGTGTTAAAAATCATCTCCTTAACATCTCAGCTTCACCCCTTGGCAGGATCCTCCTCCCTCCATCAATACAGGACCAGCCACAGTGTCCAGAACATACCCCATGCTTTTGTCCCTCTAGATCTCTGCATATGCTAGACGCCCCCTGAGAAGGCATTTTCTTGCATGGAAAGTGTCCAAGCAATGCTCTTTACAACAGCCAAAAAGTCTTGTTCTTTGATCAATTCTTCTGCCACAGTTAGGGCATCCTTGTTTGTTTTCCCTGTTTGGGGCCCAGTGTATTCACTAGAAACTCAGATTATCCAAACTCCCACATCTGCTTTCTCTTCTGAACTAGATTTTATAAATTCACAGAGGGCAGGGGCTGTATCTTATTTGTGGTTATATCCTCAGGGAACGAAGAAAAGCCTAATCCATGTCTAATAAATTATATGAGTGAATAAATGGATGAGTGAATAAACACACCAATTACATGTGTATACCTTCAGCTCCTAGGAACACACTGCACTAGTGTGGTGAGGCATGCAAAGGAATAAAGTGGGTTCCCCACTGAAGGCACCCAGAGGATGGGCCGGCATAAGAAGCACCTAAACCAGCAGAGAATTTTTGTGAGTTTATTTGAGCCAAACTGATGACAGTTTCTGGGAAGTAAAATCTCAGTGGATTCAGAAAATGCTCTGGAGGATTGCGGTTTTGCAGCTTATATATATGCATTACGACGAAAGGAGGACACATAAGGAGGGTTACCTGAAAGTCACTGGTGGTAGATTCAAGAGATGAGAGAGAGGGAGTGTGGGAGAGTGTGTTGGGGGAACACTGAGACTGGATAAAGAGTAAAACAGAGACATACTTCTTTTACATGGGTGGGTATATGATAGTTAGCAATTAATATTTACAGCACCTAGAAATGGTGTTCAGGGAACAAGATAACATGAGGGGTCTGTGGTCTTGTGCCCTGGTGTGGACCCCCCTGCAGGGTCCAGAAAAAGGATTACTTTCGTGTTCCAAAGGTATGTTACCTTAGGTGCAAAAAACAATAGACAGGCTTTCCTTAAGGTAAAGATTGACCTTTCACAAGGAAGCTACCAGCCTAGGATGTGACTACCCATCATAACTTGCTTTTAATTAGAAATGTTTATGTTCAGACCATCCTATGTGGATACTTTCAGTCTCTGAGCTTGTAAGACCTACCATACAGGTCTCCCCTGAGCTTGTTAGGTTTAGCATATGGCTCCTTTTCCATCCACAGATACAAGAGCAATGCATTGTAAGAGATATGTAGAATGGCTCCTGGGAATGTATCTTAAAGGAAGAAGGTTTCCCTTTCTCAAATGTACAGTCTGTGAGAAAGTTTTTGTATGTTGGAAGAAACATTTTTAAAAAGCAGAATTCTGTAGTTAAAAGTCAGCAGTCAAATTATTTCACTTCCCTGTGTGTGGATTATGTGGAAAATATTTAGTTGCCTGATAGTACACAATTGTTGCCTTCTCAGCTTAATGTTTGGAGTGGGACCTGAACTTTCAAATCCTCTGTGTTACATTGCTCAGCCTCTGTGCACCACAGACCTCACCTTCTTAACCACTGCTTGCTGCTTTCGCTTTTTGCGTTACACCCAAAGCCACCATCAGATGTCATGGGGATGAGACTTCAGAAGGTAAGTGAAAAGAAAACAGTAACATGTTTTTTTTTCAAAACAGAAGTTGGTGAAGGCATCGGCCTGAGAATGACAGGAAGCACCACCTTGCCATGTTCCTTCTTTGCCACCTGAATGGGATGTGCAGCCTGGTCTGTGTGGAATCATAGATGGCCGGACTAGAATGAGACAGAGCCCACGTTCCCAAGGGCCCTGTCTGAGAAGGAAGCAGGCTCTGTTGTCTAGACAAGAGGAAATGCTTTAATTTTTTGAGGGGAGGATTTTAAAAGCTAAATGAAGGCTAGAGAATATAACTGAAGTTTGATTGATTCCTTGTTCTTTTTTTTTTTTTGAAGCCTTTTTCCCTCTTTTGTATTTCATTCTAAAAGTCTATCTTTAAGCCCAAAATGCAAATCAAAAGTCAATGAAGTTAGTGAGATCAAAAAGATATAGGCTTGTTGCGCAGCAAGCCTATGTCTGTTCTCCCTTCCCCCCATCAGGAGTTTTAAAATTGGGGTATAGTCAATATCATGTTTAAGATTTCTCTGCAGTCTCCTTTTAGTAACTACAGAGTACATTGCTCTTTTAAGTTAATGTTTCATAATCCTTTAAACAGGATATAAGTTTGAATGTTTGAAATAGTTTTTTCCTACATTGTAAATACTAGGTTATTAAGAGTTCCTTAGACCTTTTTGGTGAAAAGGCAACACAGACTTGGTAGATGTTTGTGGTTCTTGTTCTTGGGGGCTGTGCCTCCAGTCGCCCTTCAGGCCTTTCGTGGCGTGTGCAGCCTGCTCCCACTCTCCCGCTCCCTCCCCCAGGGAATGCAGGACGTGTCAGGCTAAGAAAATGGAACCAGAGGTTTTGAGAAAAGATTAAACGATGATGATTTTAAAATAATCCCTTTTAAGATTTTTTACACATTTCACACATTTTTATTGATATAAATTATTTTATTATACTTACAGTTGAAAGCATTTTGGCCTATTTAAAAGATTATTTCCTTCCAACCTAGAAAACGGTATCTCATACTGCTGCTGCTGGGCCTTTTCACAATTTATCCCGTCTGGTAGCTTTCTGTCGATACAGCTCATTTCAAGTTTCTGCTGCTAGTTCCAGCAGCTGTGATTCTGGAGGCCATCAGACCTAAAATTTTGCTAGAATTTTGTGTTTTTTTCTCAACCTGAGATGTTTTTCACAGCGAAACTGCTCTGTTTCTCACTGGTAGATCTAATATCCAGATCTGTCTTTAGGTTTGACAAACATGATACACTAGCAAGAATATTTTGCATTTGTATAGCTTTTATATACAGATATCTTATTCTCCTAATAACTTTTCAGGTTATGGGTAGATTTTATAGAATAACAAACTCAAATGTCTGACAAGCAGCTATATAGACTCTGGAGATCAATTGTCTACATTTAAACCCTTAAACCACTGCTAATTAAGGCAAGTTACATAATAGCTATCTGCCTTAGTTTCTCAGTCTATGACATAATGGTTTGTGCCACATTTGGTTGTTAAATGAGATAATTCATGTAAAGTATTTAGAATGGTGCATGTCAAATAGTAAGTATTATTTATATTTTTGTTAAATAAATAGAAATAAGTAAGTAAATGCTCAACTCCCTAGTCAGGGAAATGCATATTAAAATAACAATTATATATCATTTACAGCCATCGATTTTTTTGAAAATTATAAAATAATAGCACCTAGTATCAGGGAAATTATACTCATAGACTGTGTGTTGACATGTGAATTGTAATAGCCTTTTTGGAGACCAGTCAAGCAGTGTCTGTGGATGTTTATTGTGGCATTTTCTAAAGTGCCTACCACCGCCTACCAAGCTCTGTATCATCCAGGCCCTGGGCAAGAGATCTGTTGGTCCCTTGCCTGACTCTCTCATCTTGCTTCTTGCACATCAGCCACAGTTGTTTCGCCATTCATTCCAAATCACTCCACCCACACTCTCCTTCAGAAGCTTGGTGCTTGCTATTTCTTCTGACTGAATTGCTCTTCTTTTAATGCTCCTCACTTGCTTCTGCTAGGTACACTACACAGCAACTTCAGTCAAATCCTTCCCTACTCCCACCCCAGCCTGAACTTCATGTCAGGCACTGATTTCTGGTTGTTGATTCCTCCCAGTTAATTATTCTTCTTGGGAATTCAATGCTGATGCACCGGTATGGGTTCCAGGCTGTCCACTTGGATTCTCTTGGATTCCATGAAGCAGATATTTGTCTTTTCCTGGGTACTTTACTCATGTTTTCCATACAGTGAGTCCTTGAAATTCTTATAGCCATTACCTATCACTTTTGTCGGGTACTGAGGAAACACTACAAAGTTGATTCTTGACTCTTTAGGCTTTTGTGGTTCACTTGGGCCCACACAATTCCTGAGCCAGGGAGGTGGACCTGGCAGGATGACAGCGCTGATTTGATGGAAATGTGCTTCAGCTCCCTAAAGCGAACCCATAGAGCCCTCAGAGAGAAATTTGGGGAAACAATATCGAGTTGGAAATAGTAAACATTCTAAAAATAAAACAGCATTGTCTTAGAAATGCAAGAAGCAGAGGCAAAAATATGTGGTTTGAATTATTAGCAATAAAATTAGTGACCCAAACCCCCCATATTTTAGGGTAAGAATATGTCCTTTTTATCATACCTTTCAGGCATCTGAATTTTTATATTTGCTCGTCTCATGTTTTCTACCAGATCTAAGGGTGGGTTTGTGTACTGCTTTTATTGTATGGTAATTTTCAGGCACCCAACTGTCTTCACTTTAAGTAGGATAATTTAGGAATGCTAATTCTAAACTTACTCTCCCTGAAGGCAAGATAAAGATTTCATAATGTTTGATTTTAGAAGATACAAATGTTTTGCTACAATATAAGTGTCTTACTATTATCTTTAGAGGGTTTCTAGCTTACTACTGAAAATGGGGAGGCATCTTATTGTCCATATGTAGCCTACCTGGCTCACTGTTGGGGGGGATGGTGGTGGAGCAGGGTCACAGGTTATTAAATATTTTACCACATTTTTTGCTTCAAATTTTTTTTCCTGTTTCCCTCCTCTAAAACATAGGTGTGTCTTTTGGTTCAGTGTGTCTTATAGTCCGAAAAATATGGTAATTCAAAATTATTTTACTGACAGGAGAAAAGGATGTTTAAACTCTGAAAGTGGGAAAAAGAGATTCCAAGAGTATTATTGTTTGAGCTTTAGATTTTCTTAGAGCAATTTCCTCCATTAATATGTTTATAAAATAGAACTTTTTCTTTCTACCAAAAAAAGTGCACTTGAAGAGGAGGAGTAAGGGGAATGATTGAAGAACAGTGTAAGAATTGTGAATTCCTAACACACATGCTTAATAATCACCAAACAGCAACAAATTTCAGAGATTAATAATTTTTTCCTTCACTATAAATTTTGAGTTTCGACAATCACTTGTTTAGGACAGAGGCCTTTTGATTATGTGAAGTGGCAGAGCTCAAAAATCATACATACATAAAAAAAATGTAAATTCCCTCTTATTATCCCCGTTTAAAGCAATAGTGAAAGAAATGAGCAATACAGAAAGAGCAGCAGGTCAGAGCCTACTTGCTGCAGAGGAGACCACTGTTCTTCCTGTGATCTCAAGATTGACCTTTCACCTTCTCTTGCCTTAACTCCTCTGAGGGGAAAATAGTTTGGGGGTTGGGAAGCTTTGCATTTTCCTTTTCACCATCAATGAGCTGGATTTCTAGAATCATAAAACCACGCTGAAAGCCCACGCTCTTAGAACCATGGGGGAAGTTTTTATCTGTTGATTAGCTGAGAAGCTTATTTTCCATATTGACAAGCAGTAGTCATTTTAGTTGTGTTCTGGTAAAAGTCAGTATAGATATTAGACATCAGCTCAAAGACTCTTGACAAGTTTTTACAGACAGGACCCCCAGTACCCTAAGGTTTGGCTTAATTGTAAAGTCTAACATCATTACCCTTTTGAAAATCTTGAAATCTGAAACAATTAAATAATGGACTTCAATCTTATTAGCAGAGAAAGTAGTAGAGAAAATTAGTAGTAGACAGTGTATTGAATAATTACAATGTCTTTTCTTCCCAGACACCTAGAGTCATCCTTGAGAATTTTTGTGGTAATTGAAATAAAAGCCTTTAACAGGTTCTTCCCTTTGTTATAAATGTGTCTGCCAAGCAATATGCTTGGAAGCTTATTAATGGATGGCTGTTTAAGATAATGTTTTTTTAAATAAATGTCATTGACCTATCTACTCCATTCTTGTAGTCTCTTTCTAAGATTTATAATTTTCTGTTCTTAAGCTAAAACTACATGACTGTAATTCATTTCTGGTAAAGAGTCATTAAAGAATAATAGTATTTTCTTTTTAACTATAATGTGTACCAATGTTATCTGCTACTTTGTAAATAAGAGGAAGTACTGAGAAGAACGTTTAAAGATACTTTTATTTGTAGAGCTCAATTAAATATTTTCACATGATTTTGATATATATAAAAATTATTATAAAACTATAAAATAAAAACAGATATTTTACTGGCAATAAAATGAACAATATGCAAATATTTCTAATACATATAAACATGGAGACCTTTAAAGTTTTTAAAATTCTTAATTAAAATCTATTGTGTGTAGTAAAACTTTTAATATTTTATGACACACATTTATTTACAAAATTAAATTTGAATGAATGTTAAAATCTTTTTCACCTCTTGATTCCATTCTCTTTTATATGCTTTTTATATTCTCTTTACACATACACACACACATTCATACACTCATCTTTTTTCTTTATCAAATGTAAACATGGATTATTTTGACAGAAATTAAGATTGAGGTCATACAAAATGACATCTATAGCACTAAAATTTTATTTAGAAAATGCAAAGTATTCCTAAGAAATGAAAAAATCACTTTATACAGGCTAATTTCACATGTTTATAGTACATATGTATATAAGTTATATATACTTTTATTATTCACAAACTAGGAGTTTGATGAAGAATG